TATTTAAAACCAAAAATACTTATATAGTATAATATATGATTAAAGAAAATGTTTCGTTAGGGACTGAGAAGCCACAGCCAAAGAGACAAAATAATTGCAGTGGTCCACTTTATTTCCAAAAATAATTGTATCACTCCATAAAATTAAGAAATGATGAGTAAAAAAAGGATATAAAATCAGTTTTATAATCTAAATTAAGATAATTCTAATAGCCTTCGTTGTTCTATAATCAAAAAGCTACAAGGCAATTGCCCTCTTGCCACCGTAACCAATCCGATAACTTCTCCTTAGTGAGTAATCAACCATTAAAGTCAAAAAGTTCAATGTACTTTACTTTTTTTTAATTCATTATTATTTATATGAAAAAAAAAATTGATTAATACTCTTGTATTACTCAAAATAAAATTGCAGACTTCATAAATATAGTTTTCAATGTTTGATCTCATAATTTCCAATTCTTTTCGCCGTTTTTTTTTAAATTTAAATAAAAAACTTACAATTTAAGTTTCATTCCTTACTAAGATACCAGTTTTATTTATTTAGTCAAATTAAATGTAATACGGTTAATACAATTAAAATAACTGTCTGAAACAAGCCAAAATATATAATACACATAAAGCTACCTATAATTCTTAAAATTTTTCTTTAGAATTTCTGTGATAAAAGTTCATTTTTGAGTAAAAAATATCAGATAATAAATTCCCTTAAATTACTAGTTTTAAACTTAGATGACTAAACAATAGGAATTCTCTCGAAACACGCAAAATAAGTGCTATACGTTGTGTATTTTATCACCAAAGTATAATTGACACGCAAATTTTTGAAATTCCAAATTAACGTGCGTATGCATTCACTTCTTTTAGAAATATATTCCGATTTAAATATGAAATTCCTGTGCCTTTTTGAAGTGCATCTTTTGACCGTTATAACGTCAAAAGATTTAAGCTCAACTTTATCTGAACTTAAACAATTAGGTAACCAAATCATGTAGATCTCCTGGAATGATAAACTCATTCGAAGAAATGTACTCTTCCTCTAGTTGATTACTGATCATACGCCCCTCCTACAAAATTGAGAGCATGCTGGCAAACACTAATAGAGTCACTTAAGGAACTGAATTGTATGTGCATACTATTCTTACACAACTACTATTTGGTTTTTTTTCTCATCACTCAATTACATAAGGCCTCGATTAGGTTGGATTAAACTGTCTGTTATGTTTGTTAAATGTAATTATAACAACCATTACTATCTTAAATTAAATTGATGAAAATCTACCAAAATTGAATTTTGATATTCTATAATAGAAGTTCTAACATATATTTATCTTTCATAAGACGTATTGAATATTAAATTAACAATTTTAGTAGTCGTTGAGAAACAAAAAGATGCATAAAAATATTTTTTAAACGAGAAGAAAATTGCTCTAAAAATACCTAATATATTACTGAAAAACATTAGTTTCCAGAATACAGTAATAAATGTTTAAACATTTTATTCTTTAAACTATAATTGGAATTTTGAACATCCTCTCATGTAAATTAATAAATTTATGGATTTTTTATAAAATATGTTTTCCCAAAACTTCTTCGTTTTATATTAATAAATGTTAAGAATTAATTAAATATAATAATTAAAATAGAATTAGTACAATAATTATATTATTATTAACCTATTTATATTTATTTACGTTTTAAAATCTATACTATGTATTAAAGAGAAAGGAAAAATATGCGCACAGAAAGCACTAAACCTTCCTGTCTGAGTTAAGTAGGACGACTAAAGTTAATATAAAGTTATATATATATAAATAATTTAAACTAGAATAAATATTAGTATTTGGAAATTAAGAGCCTTCTATAATATATTATTGATATAATTTATGAAAATAATTTAATACTTACTTAGGTAAATATTAAATTAGTTTAAAATTATAGTATTATTAATTGATATATTTGTATACGTTTTATACTAAGAAATAATTTTTAAAAACTTTTTCAAAAAAAAATAAATACCTATTGACAGTTATGAAATACTTAGATTCAAATCATAACCTTTATTTCCATTTTGAATGTATGGTTATTACTTATAATAAATGTAAATTATTTATTAAAAATTGTAGATGAATAAACGATACATTTATAGTTATTACGCCTGACTACTTGATAGCTGGCAACAGTTATTACTTTAAAATATAATAGAATGCGTATTATGATGGTCAGGCACTACTATACTACTATTACTACTAAAAAAGTTTCTTGTCTGTACAGTGTACACTCTATATAAATATTAATTAAAAATTCTAGCGTTTATCTTATAGGATACATGGAAATATTTAGACTGTTGAAGTGAATAAAATAAAAATTATAGTGTAATACAGTTTACCATGTGCACATAATTTATTTATTTATTAAATAATATAACGCTTAGTAGGTAATAAAAATATAAACTTATAGAGTATTATGTGCTTATAAAATTCAGTAACAACTAAGTAAAACAAAAAAAATTGACTACCGATAATAATGGTAATAGCTAATAATTATTATTCAAATAGAGTTTACTCCCGTCTAAAGAGTCATAAAAAATCTATATCAAAGCAAATACATACGATTGGCTGGAAAAAATAACCATTTATTTAAAAATATTATCACAAGAAATATAAAAACGGTTGTGAGTGAAAAATCAAATTACTCAAAATACTATAAATTCAAAACTTTCGTATTGAAACTGATATTTTCATATGAAATGTATGTTAGAGCGAATGTGGTTTAAGTAATTTTTCAGGGGTTATAATAGTTTTGAACTGAAAATAAATATTTCAAATTTTAGTCTTTCTTTGATATCATTAATTGCAATAAAGTGTTATGAAGCCATACTGTTACATTAATATTAATCCCTGTGAGATCAACGTGTTTCTATTGACTCCCTAATAAATGATTAAATTTGACTTATTCACATTCATTTCTAGCTAATGTTGTAACATGTTTGTATACATGTTTGACTGTAAAATTATTAAGTTTTATTAGTTATAAAATAAATTTAGTTTTGTAGTCTATACGAGTTAATATTCTTCAAACATTAATTTTACCTTTAGTGTGCGTCTACTATGCTCCCCTACCCTTAAATTGGAAAAACATAAGTATAACCTAATTATAAATAAATACGCATCAAAGTTTAAAGAATATGAAACATTGTCAGATGCAACATAAAATATTTATTATAAGTTTATTCGCTATGTTAAGAATTCACTTTTTTTTTTATTAATTTTTACCGTCAGTTTTTCTTAAAAACAGTTGAACATAACCTAAAATATCATATTTTTATAGTCTGAACTATTTCTAATCAACACAATTTTTAAAATGCAATCAAATTAACGGGGTGTCGATATTTTTTAAGGCAGATATCGAAATCTATTTGGCTCACTGACATTGTAACAATTAATTTGATCGATAATAAAAAAAGGCCTTTTAACTGTTAAAACTTTAGAAGAGCAAGCTAGCTTCCTGGATCTCTTAATTACGCCCCAAATCTTATATATAATTAATTAAATTTTATAAGCATAATCCAAGTATTAATATATATATATTGTATATTTTGATAGAATTTACATAAATACAATAGCAGTACTCTAAGTACATACAATAAAAACTATTAGGAGGACCAAATATAAATTATTCTAGCTCTAATTTTTTTTCGTGTAATGAAATAATTATTAAAATGACAATATTTTGATATATTGTAATATATTATATATATAATATTATGATAATATTTATTATGAATTATAAAACGCGAAAAACTAATTTTTTTTGTAATTTATCTAACTTTTATAAACAAGAAAAAAATCTACAAAAATTGTTTCAAATCTATATAATCTACGCCCTTTTTCTTGGCTGGTATATGATTCCAGCCAGATCATGACTACGACCATAAAACAAAAACAAAAATATCTTTCCTTTAATATCCATCAATATTTTGTCAGTTATTTTACGAAGAGTTGAACTTTTATCAAATGTTATGTTTTGAAAATATGTTACTTATCTACACTGCTATTTTATGAGTTTGTTTTAATTTTTGTGATTGTAAAGTTTATTTTACATATATTCCTATTTTATACTACGTCAATAACTGCCTATTCACAGAACAATTCAACTTGCCAATAAATTATCATAATATATTTTTAAACGGAAAGTACTCTCTCATATATAAATTTTTCTATTGTGTTCGTTTTCATTTCATCATTATAAATAGATGAACTAAATTATTTTTATCCGCACCGCTGCTACTCTTCAGAATATTTATACTATACCTCTTTAGAAAACATCTGTCTTTCAATTATTTATAATTCAAATTAATATAATATTTGTCCGAATTACTCTAAGCATAAGATTTTACAACCCATTTTTATAATTTTTTTTATTATTTATTTCAAAGTATTTTACAAAAGTAAATATTCAATGAAAAAAATAAATGAAATTAGACGTATAGTTAGGAAATTGTATTAAAAAATAAATAAATATCATTTTGTAACTTTACATAAATTCCATGTTTAAAAAATCTAAAAATTAAATAAATAAATTATTTATCTCGTTATAAAATTATATTTTTGATTTATATTGTAATCTTTACATACTTTGCACTCGACAGTTATACACTATTATACAATATCAATTCTTTATCAAAATTAATTTTCAAATTGACAAGTTTTGGCAAACAGTGTGATGTATTATAAATTTTCTTGTTTACCATCATCTCTTGGTATAGAAATCCGGGCAAGTTGCCGGATCACCCTGTATACAAAACGTTGATTTGTACAATGTGATGCGAAACTGTATTAGACGAGCGTATGTGGGTGTTATATATTTTGGCACACTGTTGTTCTAACACCCGATCATTATCTTCTCAATCTCACTCCCACTACTTCCCCCCACTCGACCATCGCTTATACTATTTTGCTGTCCGTGCCGTTTACCTAACCAAGAAAATGCCCGCGGCTATTTTCGAAGTCTAGTGTGAGACGCGACTACGACGAGACATTTTCGTTTTATTAATATTATTGTATAATAGCGAGTCTAAGTTCGGTACGCGGCACGGCCTATTTTCATTCCAGTGTATTTTTGTCAATTGTACATAATAATTACGCACATGCTAACGTTTATTTTTAGACATCATCGATGAACCGACTAAGCAATCCGTCGACCACAGTATTGACTAATATTTTTTAATATCTTGTCGATACTTTTTGAAAGATTACTAATGATTGAAATATACCACCTGTTACTTTTAAAAAATATTATTGTTTATTTTAATAACTTATTGGATTTTATATGAGTGCACTCGTGATCAAGTGGTATCTATTTAAACGATGTCTGACCACCCGAGTGGTTCCCGGATGCCGGAAAGTGACGAAGAAAAACCTAAAAAATGTAGTTTCAAGCTTATTTCAAAGAAGAAAAAAATTAAAAAGACTGGTCGGATAAGTATTGGAGATTGTGGAGAAGTCATGGCTAAAACTTGGGACAAGGAACCATTTAAAGATAGAAAAACTAGAGGATCTAAACGCGAACGATGGCTTCTAACTCGTAAAACATGGAGGTATATGGCCGACGCAGGTAGAAAACTAATACCTGAAGGTGTGGCAAACAGACCGGAAGATGTGCCAAAAATTGAAGCTTATTTTCAGGAAGTATGTCAAAAAGAACCAAAATTTTTGCTATGGAGAAAGCAATCTTATCCTGGAGCATTAGGTTTTAGGTCTAGGGGTAGACCCAGAAGTGGTAGACTAAAAAAAATGAGTAGCGTTCGGGAACATACCAATAGTGCAGATGAAGCTGAAACCATCACAAGGGTGCCAAGTGTAACCTTTTTAGCTCATCCAAGACCAGCAGGAAGATACGAGTTAGAACAACTAAGAAAAGAATTTCTTTTTGGGTCTAATGATCAAAGTAACTTATTATTAATTGATAGCCAATCATCCAATTCTAAGTCAGATTTAGTTCAAATCATAAATGATTATATTAGAAAACCTAGCGGAGAGGCTTCACCACAAGATGATTCAACATTAGACCATGAAAAGCTTTTAGAAAAACTTGAAGACTACATATCTAAAACTGTGGACGTTTCAGCTAGCTATGGTAACTCTGATGGTAAAAAGTCTCTTAGATCTTACATACTAGAAAGTGATAACACTCAAAAAAACTTACTTGAAACGTTACGAAGATATTATGCAAGATCGACAAACCGAGAAAAAGTTATAGGTGACATACTAATGGATAGAAAATTATTAGAAAATTTATACTTTGAATTGCGTAAAACTAGAGGGTTTTTAGGTAGAAGAATAATAGGATCGTCGTCGAATCTAGGCTTGGGATCGTTAAACTCTTTGAGCTCATCATGGAAAGACAATCAAAGATCGGATGACCGAATTAACACATCATCTAATGAATACCTAAAACTATATAATGATAAAAAAAAGTGTATGTTTTTTTCCAACAATAAATCAGGATATTTATCCTCTCCACCCCCAATAATAGAAATAGAAGACGTGGAAGACAAATACAGAGAAATTAGCACACAAACAATACCTTTAGACTCAGGAATTCTTAGTTTCATAGAAGAAGAAAATCGACGAAGGATAGAAAATCCAACTGAAGTAATTGATAACTCTTCTAAAGCATCATCTAAAACATTGCAACGTAAAACCAGCATAGAAAATGATGATATTTCACCTTCAGTAAGTGATACAATTAAGAGATATTTAAGAATGGCAAGAAAAAAAAGCGTTGACTCTGATAAAGCGGACAGGTTTAAAAGGGTCAACTATGATCGAAACATTAGAAACATAAAAGGAAAAGGTGAACCAGATATATGTGAGGGTGATGAAACTAATAAGTCAATACAAACAGACGATTCTTGGCTAATGGTGCTGAAAACTTTTGATGATAATTCTGGATCGAGAATGACGAGCTCTAGAAGCAGTATCGATACTGGTACAACCTTTAGCGGGGAAGAATTACTGTCACCTCCACTATCCCCACCTAAATCTCTTAATGGTAATATAATTGCCAATTTTTTGTACTTAATACATTAATAAGTTGAATTATCAGGCCTAAGAATTTGTAATAACATATAATAAGAATTTTACTCAAAATAACTAACTACATTAGATAAAATTATATCTATTGAGTTTATTTAAACCATAATGTTGATTTAAATATTTATTTTTACTTTTGAATGTAATTTTATAAATCTATACTAAACAATCAATCAATAGTTAAAGGTAATAAATATTATTAAAGACTATTAAATCATTCATATAACAATTAAATAAGGTTATTTTCATTTATATTTAAATTAAATTTATGCATTTTCAAGTTGTTAATTTAGCACAAAAACTTTAAGTATTAATATTTTATTTATTTAATACCATTATTAAATTAACAATAGTTTTATCATAATTTAAAACAGAAAATATTAGACATTTATTTTAATTGAAAAGTTATTTGAACATATTAATTTTATGTTTAGCCCCCGGAATGCAGAAATCAAGATCTTCAACCAACGTTCAGCAGGGGTTTATGTCCAAAAGAATATGGAAAGGCCGTTCAAAAAGTCAGACGAGGGCTAATACAATTTCATCACCTTGGTCTCCATTAGTAAGTATACATAAGTAAAAATTATTATTTAATTCTTCGTGTACAAATATTAGTATGTTATATAAATACAAATCGATTATTAAAATATTTTATTCTATTATCAATTCAAATTTTCAAAGATAAATAATAAAATCAAAAAACTGAAATCACTCAAATATTTAGATAAGCATATATACAAATTTGAATAGCCTTCCTATGTAATTATTAAAAAAAAAACAATATATTGATTTAACTTTTCTTAATTGATATAATATTTAAAGGAATTTACAAGGATTTATGAAAGAATCCATAAAATTACCATATGAAATTATGTTAAAAATAATACAATAAAATAAGATAATGCTTCCTAAAGTTTCAAGTTTATAGAAATATTACCCATTTTTATGATGATAATTAGTGTATATTAAATAAATGTTCAGTGCTGTTTTCTTAATTAGCCAGAAAATTAATTTCAAACATAAAACTCTTCATAAGTTGACTTGTGTACATGCATTTATTGTTAAAATATCTAAAAAATATTTCACTAATATTGTATATATTATAATAATGTTTAATATAATAATTTATTTTATTTTTGCATGATTTAATAAGTTATGGTTTAATAATAAAGCCACGAGTTGTAAAATCAATGAAAGTTATACTTACATGCGTGAATAAAATCTCTAAATTAAAATTCTTTTAAAATAAAACCTATAAATATAAAAATATACATTCAATTAATAACAAATAATAAGTTAATAATAAAACTCAATCATTTGAATTTTCGAATAAAATAAATTAATATATTACATTTTTAATTTAAGTAACAATAATTTTTATCAAAAAATTTAATAATTAAGTGTGATATTTTTCAAATGGATGAAGGATTTAATACATCACATGGCTATTTTATTCCATTTTCTAGTTTTCCAATCAATATCTTAATTAGTTGGCGCAATGTTAATTGAAATATTGTACATTCATAAAAACCTTTAAAGGTTCAATAAGCTTGTAGTCCTGTTTATTTATAAATATAAAGATTTCTTGAAATCTTATATGTGGTTATGTGGAGTATTTCTAAATGTTAATAAAACATTTAATTTTTTTTTAGTTTTTAAACGATGTTTTTGATATATTATTTTTAACTTATTCTCTATATAATGTTTTTTAAAAAACTTTATAAGATTTTAATTTATGATACCGAAAAATTAAAAATACAACACACACTTTAAAAGTAGAATATTGGTGATAGGAAGCTACAAATAAGCATTTATTTATTTAACACATAAAATAAAGTGTGACTCATAGCTTTACAGCAAGATAGTTTTTACAAACCCGTTCTATTCACTTTGAATTAAGCACAATTAGAAAATTTTGGATATTAAAAAAACTGGAGAAAAATATTATTTAAATCATTCTAACCAATCTAGTACAATTTTATCCACAACAATCAAGTAAAAGTCACAATGAACAATTATCATATCTGTACATTATATAGTGTAGCAACATAGTTATGTGTAACATTTGGCAAACTTCATGAGTATTTCTAATTTTCTTAACATCTGTATAAAATATATGTTTCTATACTATTATTACACTCTATTTTTTAAAAACTGTATTATTATTTGAGTAAATAGGACATAAAAGAAAATCAAAATATTGAGACTAAATGATTAAAAAAACTTTCGTCCCTATCTCTGAGAATTTTTAATCAATTTTAATTAAATATATCCAAATAAGATACAAATATTATTTAAAAAATCTAAATATTTTTACTAACTTGAGTTTGAAAAATAAAATAAAATCTCATAGTACACAACAAAAATTGGCAAAGTCAGTGACCACCAGAAAAATCATTTTAACTTAACATGTATTTATTTTTAGATCGTGAAAATATATTTATGAGAGTTGAAATAATTTTTTTGTATATAATTGTTAACGGCAACAAATAGCGAAAATTTGAGAATTTTGGTAAAACGTTTTAAGTTTAAACTATTTTTGTTTAAATTTAAAATTGAACTTTAGCTGGAAAATCAACGTTTTTCGTACACAAGTTCACCTTTGCTTATATCATAAATACAACCAAAGTTTTGTATAAAATAATATGGTCTAATAATTTCGTTTAAACTGAATTTAATAACATAACTTAACCTATACAAACGCATATAATCATATTATTTAATGAGAACATTTTATTTTGTTAGAAAATCTATTTTAATGTGTATAAACGTTTTTCTCTAATACAAAATTATCATTATAGTATAACTTTTAAATAAGACTTGGAAAAATTTCGTTTTCATTATCCATAACTAGTCCTTAGAATAATCATTAGTTAATAGCTGCTTAGTTTGACAATACATAGAAACTAAAATAATATTGACTGTTTTCTATCATAAAATTTTGATTTAATTTTAGGGAAACTGCGTATGGCTGCATTCTAGCGGAAAATCAATTCGTCTTAAAGTAAGAATTAATTACTTAAATTTTTTATTAATAATTGATTATTCAATGTTATGATTATCAAAAATAAAATTTTTAAAGGACTCATCTTTACTAGACCTCACTGATATTGAAAAAGAAATATTATCGTACGTTGCCATTAATAAGATTCAAGAAATTAATCTCGGAGTGCCAGTAAGAATACCAACAGGTAAAAATACAAGTATATATATATGCATGTTTTTTCAATAGGAAAGCTTATTATATTAGTCTACTATTTATAACCTCTTGAACGTTTCAAACTTTTAATCACTAAAATTATTTGAAATATAATACACTATCATTATTACATAAATTTTATTAATACATAATAGGTAGTGTTAACTTATTTTAGAGTGTCTGTTATTATAAGTATCAAACAACTGAAACTATATACTTTACGTTTATTTTTTATTTTTGCCGTAAGCCAGCAAACTTCTTAGTAAACTGTCACAAATTCACTAATTATAAATGGTCAAACATTTACTAGCCATTTTATTCGAAATAACAAAATAAAATAAAAACTTGAACAGAAGCCAAAGATTAAATAAAAATGTAAAGTGACTTTACCAATGTTAATTTAAAATTTAGCATTAAATGTTCTAAACTTTCAAAAAATTATAATTTAATTTATTAAATTAATATAATTTAATTCAATTTAAAATTGTTTTCATAAGGCTTCTATAATATTGATGTACACAATTGGAATTATAGGCGGTCTATACGAAGACTTTAAATAGCTAAGAAAATAATTGGAAATTAAACCAATCATAATTTTTACTTAATTAAATACCCAGGATTTTAAGAACATTACTACTACAGTAATGGCATTCATACACTAAGAAATAATATACAACTCATTTGATATAATACAACAAAAATATTTCTGTTAGCCTTTATTTACCATCCATCCTTTACTTTAAAAATTTTCTAATTTTATTAATTCGATTTCTACATAAATAAATAATATTTATAGGTAAAAGAAATTTTTTATTTATATGTTAGTACAAATGTAATTACAGTGTTGTTCTAGAGAGGAAAATACACGAGAAATTATTTTTTATGTAAATAGATTAATTTATACGGTCACATCATTTAGATTACACATTGATCCGGATTTAAATTTCAATACCGCAATATGTGTATATAAGGTACACAAATAAATTATTTCCCATGTTTTCTATATCAATATAACTTGACGTTAAATATAAGTTATAGTCCAACGCCATTATCTGCTACTTTCTAATTGAATTTATATCTTGAGCCAATCTTCGGAAGTTCTCATTAACCCATTCTCTGTGTGTTACTCATAACCTTGGAGTAGAATTTTAACACTAAAATAAACATTTGAAAATAATGTGAAAATATATTTAACAGTATTATGTTTTTTATTCGTTTATAAAATAAGCTTATTTAACAATTTGAATTATTATATTTTTAATCAATCGATACGGTAATGTTAAAATGGAAATTCGAAAATTCGCCAAGTGTTTTATCCAATTTTTAATATTTAAATGCAAATTGAATTTTTTAGCTATATTAATTTTTTTTTTTTTAGGAAACGTACTTTCTGGTCCTAAGAAACGAAGACCTTATCTTTTGAAGAGAAGGGCGAACACCACCGGCAATTTAAAAGATAAAGATGAAAATGGTAATTTTTTTTTTTTTATCTAGAATGAATGAATAATTTATTTAGTTGTAGTGCTTTTCATATGTTATCGTTTGTTGTATAGATCATTACTACAAACTCTCCTTAATGTAAATTTTGAAATAAAAAAAAATTTGGATTTTCTAGAGTTATCAAGATGACAAATGTCAAGGGTGGCGAATATTAATATTTATTACTTGGCTCGCCCCCTCGTTATAATGTTCGTACTAAACAATTTTTAAAAAAAAATATTGGAAGCTAATTAATGTTTTAGAGCATTAGTCTATAAACATGTTATTTGAAACACCTAAGAACAGATATTTTATAAAATCAGTGAAAACAACATAGTTATTAAAATTATTTTTTAAAGATCGTTTATAACTATACAATAAATTCTTTATGCTGTAAAATTTCAAATGGACCAGCTGCTAACAATCGAATACAATTTTGGCTTAGGAACTGAAATTATTTCATATTTTAAAGTTTGTAAAAAATTTGCAAATCTTAAAATATGTACAAATATTTTATGTTCATTAAAAAAAACATATAACGTTGCCATGAATAACAACAATGTCAAATATTATTTTGAAAATCAAATTAATAAATGACAGTTAAGAATAAAACATTTTTAAAAGATAAATACAATTTTTAACACTCAAGAGTTTAATATTTATGGACACTAAATACTACAGAAAAGTTTTTGTAATGTATGAACACATGTAGTATGCTAAACTACAGTGTTGGAAATATATTGTACAAATATTTTATAAGTTCATTTTTGTGTTAATTTTTATACTCCCCCAGTAATTTGATATTGATTGGATTTTCAAAAAAAAATGTGTCTCATCGAAAAGGTAAATCTGAAGTATCATCAATAAAAATTTGGCAATGATTCGTCTAGTTTTCGAAATGTTATTTTAACATAAAGTGAAAAATAAAAAATCAATAACGACTGTTTTATAACAATTGTAATGTTTTGAGACATTTCGCTCTATCGTGGGAATTGAGAGGAATATTTCAAAACTATGACGCTAATCCAACTAGATACAATGAATTTGTAATATTTTGACGTATGTTTGATAAAAATCGATTCAATAGAAGTAAATCGATTTACATAATTGACTTCCGTGCTACGCATTGAAGCTAAAACCATATTTTTGATTACATAACTTGTTTAATATTTTGTCCTATAAATGTTTCTCTATTTTTTCTAAGATTCTCAAATAGTTTACTGTAAATTATATTTTAAAATAGTTATTAGCGACTTTAGAAAAATAATCTTACATATTTCATAATTATTTTGTACAGAGGTTTTCAGTTAATGCTGATGAACAATGTATTTAAAATTATCTGTGTACTTTTTTAAATTTATTATAATTGTTGGAATTTAATTGGTGAAGGGCCCTGTTTTTGGCCGGCTGTGAACTTTGTTGATCGCCCACGTTAACTAATACAGAAATAAACGTATCACGACAGTGTTTGCACGAAATAAATTGTGTTTTAAGTGCACTAAATTAAGTTCACTATAAGATTGTTTTGTTGTCGTGTAATTAAAATCAAACAAGGTAGTTTAGCAAAAGAATGTTTTTGTTAAAAAAAAAACAGGCATTTATGTTGTGTGTAGTATAATCCGCGCACGTCTGGGTGTTTTTTAGGCGAAATAAGTTAAATTTAACTCTATTTTTTTGGCATAGGTTGTGACAAGATATTAAATCGTCATTACATTATGTACACTCATGCATTCTGTGACGTTTTTACGGAGTTCTGTCAATCCCACGATTTTGTATCCAGGAGAACATAAAAAAATCATTGGGAAAACTGGGTTGTTTATTTTTAACGTTACTTATTTCGGCCTAGTTTTAACGATTAACGTACATTGTAGCCGTGACAATGAAATTAGGTGCTTAACTCTACAAATCCATGAGACTTTGAGTAAAACTATAATCTTAGTGATTATTAGACATTAAATATGTTAGAAAAAATTTCGTTAAGCTTAAATTAAGTATTTCTTTATCCAGTATTGTCGATTCTATTAAAATTATAAAATACACTTTTTAAATTGCAACTTTTATTTTTAAAAGAATTTATTGATTAAAGTGCATTAATATGTTCTTCTATAAAGCGTTAAATAAAATATTTTTTAAAAAGCTTAATTAAATAATGCATTTTAAAATGTTGGATTTTAAGTGCTTTACATTCAACTAAAAGTAATATTAGAATTTAAATTTATTTAAAACTTACGACGGCAGTTCTAAAATAAATTATAACACTTGTAAATGATAAATTATCATTTGATTCCTAACTACAAGAAAAAGCTAGCAAAATTCAAGTTAACCTAGTGAGAGAGACGTAGATACAGAATTTATTATTAGTAAAAGGCGAGTAGGAGAAGGACACCAGGTTAAAATATCTACACTCCCTCCAAAATTATACAGGTTAATCCGTTACCTATGTTTCACGTATTTTCAAAAGTATAATAAATTATAATTCTTTCTTTTCAGAAGTTAATATCCTACACACTTAATTAATAGAAAAATATACAACTGTATCCCTCTTTAAAATTGTATCATCTTAGTTTTTTAAACTGAAACTTACCTGTTTAACTTGATTTCAAATAAAAATACAACCAGTTGATAATAACTTTTGAATCATTATTTTAAAAGGTATTATCATTTTCAAATCAGCGTTCATAATGCGTTTCTTTTATGTCTAGAGATAAAAATTAACAGACTTGCACTTCACCACCAATGTTTTTATATATAGGACAATCAACAAAGGAAAAATGGCGGAAAAAATTCCCAACCAAATTTTTTAAAATTTAAAGTGTTAAGAAAAAAATATGTTTTATCTTATACCATTAAAGATATTGCACGTGATATAGCTGTATAATAGAATTAGTGCACATAATTTAATTTAACCTAGAACTTCAAATGAGGTGGGGGTGTAAAGGAACACATTCACCCAATCTTAAACATATCTAAACAAGATTTTATTTAAAATAGTTAATTTTGGAGAATTTCTCAAAATGATAAATGGACAGTAAATGATATCTTCGTAATGTTTCTTTGCTACTTTAAACATTAATTTGACCCTTTTTGATTAGCATTTACTTATTGAATATTTACTTTAATATTTAGTAACGCTATAATGCGTAGTGATTAAATTAATTAGTACTTAAAATGTATGAACAAAATTGAATAGTGATTAAATTTAAAATAAACATAAATTAGAACGTTTTAAAATTTTATTTAACGTTTAGAAAATTTTATTTTTGTTTTTGTAAGGCTTTGTATTCTACAGGGAGTTCAATAAGTAAGAAAACTGGTCAATTATTATAAACAATGAGAACAATAGAAACCCGTACCTTTATTTACTAAATACTCTATATATTAATACTTACCACATTTTTTGTAAAACCTGAACAGTATTTGTCAGTTAATTCTACAATTGGTAACATCTATGACACAAAAAATCATCATTATTATGATAAAATAATATATGGAAATTAAAATACATTACATGAATTATAAAATAGTCCTGTCTAATTAATTGGCATATATTTTGCCATTTTTTTTTATTATCATCAACATATGTAACTTTTATTTTTTTATGTGCATATTTAATAAATTTACAATGGAAATAATAATAAGTCTCATTAATATTTAGTATTATTTTGTGTAATAGAATATTTAGCAAAATATTTTTCATATAAAGGATAATTTCTTTAATATTTGGTTCTCTAATTTTTCTTAAAATAATAGTTATGTTAAGGAAATTTTTTTTAATATTTTTCAGTTTTTTATAAAGTGAAATTCATATTAATATTGAGAATTTTTTGTTTGGTTTCTTTTAAGTTTATGTTTTTCTCAATTTAACAATCAAATTATTTTTTATAATCATCCCGTATACCTTATAAAATCATCAATTTTATTTTTTTATGGCAACATACATATTTAACTAGTGTATTATATAATAAATGATCAAATTAAGAAAGTTCCTGGTCAATAACAAATTTTGACCCATTATTTCGAAATTAATTATTTTATTATATTTTAGAATATAAAGTAGAGATAAGGTGCACTTTATTTACTCTCATGATTACAAATTACTCTGTCTCGCTTCTCCAATCTATACTTGTCAATGTTAATAATTTCCGAATACTAGTTCAAAAACTGTTATTAACCAGTCATTTTCTTAATTAGATTATTTTCTTTAAGGTAGTTAAATATTTATGTTTCTATTTAAAAATTTAAGTTAATACTCTTATAAGGTTTAATGGATGAATTAAAAAAGTAACTAATAATTCATAAAGAAATTTATGAAATAAAAAAACTCCAAAAATAACTATCAACATAATTATTATTTTAAGAAAAATCAAGAGGCTAATATTAAAAGAATTTTCCTGTGTATATTACATTTATTTATAAAAAATAATAATTTTAGAAAGCTTGTACCCGCATACAATTTTCGGAGTTTCGCTAAATGATTGTGTAGAACAAGAACGTTCATCAAGATCTCAGTTAAATGTTCCAACTGATGCTCAGTATGCGTCTAAATCACAACGTGGTAGGAGTAGCTTTTCAAGTTATATTGAAGTTCCAAAAGATCCAAGTGAGGTATTTCAAATAAATATTTTTCACATAGGCATTTAAGTATAGTTTTACTAAAATTTATGTTGATATTATAATCAATTTTCCTTTCAAATTACATATTTTCATAACTAATTTTTCAACGTTGATGAAAGTTTAAATGTTATTAGCGATCACATTCCTGTGACTCTACAGCAAACCCGCCCGTCAGTGAGTTAATCAAGACTTTTTCAAGTTCCAGTTCAAATGTATTGTCCGATACCGATAAAGATAATAGTCCAAATAAACGAATCACCAATTATGGTGTTCCTAGTTTTGTCACTTCGTGTTTAAGTTACTTAGAAAACTATGGATTACATAAAGTAGGAGTTTTCCGGATAAGTAGTTCAAAGAAACGTTTAAGACAGGTATTAAATTATTTAGTCAGCTAAAATAATTTCTTAGCTTCTATTTTTGTATTAAAATATTGAAACTTATCAAGTTTTAATTTTTATATAATAGCTTCGTGAAGATTTTGATCATGGAAAATCTTTAGAAAGCATATTGTCTAAAACTGAAGATCACGTACATGACGTAGCCACGTTATTAAAAGAGTACTTTAGGGCATTGCCTGACTCACTTCTATGCAATGATCTATACCAATGTTTCATTCAAACTCAAAGTATTATTTTATTTTTTTTTTTAGTTTTTTCTAAGCTCGATAAATATATATTTGTCGAGTAAAGTAAAACTCAATGACAAAAACTTAATATAAAATTTTCTAAATAGAAATCCGGAATAGGCATTTACAAATTAATGCTATCAAACATCTTATTCAACTATTGCCAGTAGCAAATCGTAATACACTCCATGCTTTACTCAAGTTCCTGAATAATATGGCTAAATATTCAGAAGACTCGAAAGATTCTAATGGTAATTTATAATTTACATTATTATTTAAAAATAACATTTGAGATTATTTAACTTTTTTATAAATCTGTGTTTATTTTCCAAAAGCTGATATGCAATTTTAGCGATTTTTCAGGATAATAAAAATAAATTTAATATTACAATGATGTTATACGTAAATTGTCATTTTCTTAGCATAAAATAAAACTTTCACGATAAAATTCAGCTACAATTTTTTTACACGCGACAGAAAATATTCTTTTCTATTCATATTAGAAGAAATCTCAATTTATTTTTGTCAGTGATCAGTTTTGGAAGATAGCCACAAAAATAATATTCCTAAGTTAGTTATTTAAAATGAGTTTGATAAAAATTACCCTCTTAGGACATTTAGTTGAAGGCAATAAAATGGATGCTAGCAACTTAGCGACATTATTTGCGCCTAATATTCTTCACAAACCTATTAAAGAAATAAGTTTAAACGACCTAAGTGACGAAATGACAACGGAAAGAAGACTTGCAATTGACGTGGTCACGTCATTAATAGAAAACTATGAACAATTATTTAAGGTATTTTGGGTTGAAGAAACTCAAAAATTTTTTTTAATAAAACGGCTATACAATGTAATCAACTCAACAATTTATAATTAAAGGTACCTGCTGAAATTTTAGATGAAGTGTATGCTCAAATGTCAGAATCAAACCCTGAAGCCTTAGATAATGTGCTAAGGTTACGATATACATTCATCGAAAATAATATCCAGTAAATTAAATTGTAGTGTTTGTGTGCGTTTAAAATAAACTTTGCCATTAAATATTTTTAATAACCTACTTACCTCAAATTAAAAAATGTGAAACTTAACTCATTCTGAATTTTATTCAGAGAACTAATTGTCTTCTGACGTAAATTGAGACTTACACTCACTAAAAGATATTCACTTTTAAAATATGTCATTTTATGCTACTAATATTATAAAAAACAATCCAAGTAACTTAATATTTTAGATTTTACTATATTTCACACACATTCCTATTATTATTATTAAATTCTGAATACATCATAATTTCAAAATTTAAAAAGTAATACAATATTTATAGCCGACGAAATTTATATTTTATCTTGCTTAAAGATATTTACGTAACTTTATTCCAATTTAACACTAAGATTTTTATTTTAAAAGTTATAGTTTCTGAATTTTATTTGTTTCCCAATGAACCTTTTCTTAATGCTATTTATTTTAAAAATAAATCCTAGATGCGTGATTAATATCTTAAACTTATTTACTCTGGCTTACATGTATATTTAATAAATAATTTATGGGAAAAGTTAATTATAAATGTGTTAAAGCTTTCTTGAATTGTTGTATTATTTAAAATATTTAAGATATGCCCATGTCTCCAGTATTGTTCTGACATTTCGACAAGGGTGTCTTTAGATAGATATTCATCCAAAGGGGCAATCAAATTTAATACTTATAACCTTAGTTTTGCTTATAACTTTTATCTTATCTTATATAAGTATAGTAGAAATATATGATATGTACTATCACAGGTTTATTATTTTATCATATAACTATTATGACTATAATTAGTCAATCTTTAATGGTTCATTTGACTTCTCAGTCAAATTTTGAAGATGTGAGTTATAAAAAAATTGAAAATGCAACAGTATAAGCAATAATCAAATAGTATTAACAAGTTAAACAGATAATTATAATTTTTCATAAAACATAAAAAATAATTCATATAAATTTTTTTTTATTTATAAAAATGCATTAACAAAAATAAAATCATCAGAACCATAAAACATAAATGCTAGCCCCGAAAAGTTTGTATCGTTGCATGTTCAGGAGGTGATCGCTTCCATCACCTCCCTAAATATGCTTCTGCAACAAGTTAAAAACATTAGCACAAAATAAAGACATGGATATATTTGTAAATATTCTAAATAAGAATGAATTATATTCCATATATTTTAGAACTTAAAATTTTATTAATATTATTATTGCAATGTAAATTATTCTCACTATGAAATCAAAAGATAACTGAAAAATAAAAATTATTACAATGCTTTTTGAAGATAACATAATTTTTATTATTCAGTTATCTTTTGATTTCATAGTGAGAATAATTTACAATTGTAATAAAAATATTGTAAAATTACAATGCCTTTTGAAGATAACATAATTTTTATTATTTATGTTTTTTCAAGTTTTTCAGCTAAATTCGTGTAGTCGTTGATTCTTAACCAATGTTAGTGCCAACATTTTGACAACTGTAAGGATGAACAACGACTACACAAATTTAATAGAAAAATCTAAGAAAAATGTAATGATTTTCAAAACCTTTAATATTTATGCAAAATGTATTTATCATCAGGAATGGTTCATCTCAGGAATCTAAGGACTTCCTATTGAATGTACCTATACCAAATGAAGGTAGTGTTTCTCCAGACTTAGAATTAACTAGACTTGATGGCCAAGGGAAGAAAATTTGGACTCGAGGAGAATTTACCCATCAAAATGCTGGTATTGGCGGACCCGATGATAATGAAGAATATAAATACAAGTACAAAATTATTAAATTGTCTATTATATCGTTAGTATTTTCTTTGACTCATTAAATTTTAGACCGAGAGAACGAAAAAGCCGAAGTAAAGCAGCGACAGCATTTTTCCCCGATGATGTAGAATCATTCACCTATCCTGTTTTCGAACGAATGCATATGAACAGAAAAACAGTAGAACACTCAATAGCAAATAAACCACAATCTAATGGAAATCAAGTATGATTTTTAATGTTATATCTAATAATAAATTAGTAACATACCCATTTTAACAGTTATCACAAGGGAAAGCGTAGTCTTTCTTTACACTCAAAACATAACTTGGGATCAATTATTAGTTTTGGTTTAGGTAAATAATGATGATGGTGTTATTACTGCCAGTCTGATGATACCAGTTCCTGTAAAACATTCGCCATCGCAGTCATTAAATGTCGAAGATACTGATATTCCATTCATTGAGGATGAAAGCAGACAAAATAATAGTAAGAATAATGCCACCAATTGAAAATATATATCTTATTGATCAACCAGAATACAAACCAGAAATTAAAACTATGTACAGCTATTTAATCAATATTATCTTTATTCTGGATATTTTTAGTGATCCCTTTAAATCTACAAACCACGTTTATTAAGGTTTTACTGAGTTCTTAAAAAATTTAGGATATAATTTATTAATGTGATATACATTTTCTAGTTTTCTTTTTATTATTCGATTAATCTAAATTCTTAATGAAAATTTTAATTAAATTAAGGTTCTGTAATTAACTTACCTCGAGCAATGATTGCTTCAATGTCATCAGATAGTAGCTCAATATCGACACCACCAACATCACCAGACAATGTGGCTGCTGAATATCACAGACGGTCTACAAAAGCTGATACAAAATGTAATACATTTCCACCAACTAAAGATACCTTAATAAAAGACATGGACGCGGAACAATTTAAAATTGACAAAAAATCTAAAGAGAAAGACATTAAATTTTATCACAAAATCTTATCAAGTACCGGTCTAGATCGATTGTCTAAAAGCGCTAGTACAACAGGAGTCCCAAAAACGCCTTTATACAAGGAAAAATTCAAACATGGTCATGAGGAGTTATCTACCTTGTTACCTGTTAGTACACTCTTTTATTATTTATTTGTGATTCTTTGCTCTATCGTAAAAGATTTTAGTGAATTCTTATAGTTTCTAAGTCATTATATTCTTAAATAATGTAGCTTGTTTTCGTTTTATATTTAGGAATCATCTAAAGTAAGCTCAGGCATATCAAATATAGGTGGAGCTGTACTTCGTTCTAAAACTGCTGATATTGAACATATACTAATGAAACAGTCTGGTTCAAAATCACGAAAAACAAGCCAAGTAGGTTTAGGGTTAGATAAACCTAAACGGAAAACATCAGCAGAACCAACTAGACATCCGTTAAGGATGGAACCTGATCCTAACGTAGGTGAAAGACTAGCAGGAGGTTCGACATACCGATCTCCGTCGCCATCAAGAAACGTTTGGAGAAGAAAAGATGTCATATCCAGTATGCCAAAACATAAAAAACCATACACGTGATTGCATAAGGACATGAATTATATTATCTTAATTAAATAAATGACTGTACACCAGATAACTGAAAATATTGTTATAGGTGTGTTGTAAATGATCCCTTAAAATAAAAAGTTTTGAAACGTACAATTTCAGATAAAAACATTGACTCTTCAAACTATTATAAATTCTTATTTGGTGCTTACTAATAAATTTTTATACTTTGATTTTTTAATTTATTTAATTTACTTTTTTTATAATTATTACTGTGTACAGATTATACTATAAATTAAGACTCGGGCCATCAGTGATGGTTAGTATATTAATTCGTTTGTTATCCGATAAGTTATAAAAAAGACCAATTAAAAAAATCCTTTTACCAAAACTTTGTTTTTTTATTATACATACATATATTTTCAGAGTGTTTCACTTATCATGAACAACTTAATTAGTTTAAAAATAAAAAACTTTGGTTTCTTTTAGTTCAATGTTTCTTTCAATTTTTCAATCATAAATTTTTATTTATGTTCATCCCTTATACCTTATATCACTTATGCCAACTTTCATTTTTCAAATGGCATCACACATAATTAACTAGCTTATTTAATAAATGATGATCTAATTAAGAAAATGACTGGTCGATAACAACTTTTGAATCAGTATTTTAGAAGTTATTGAAAATTTAAAGTAATGACTCGAGATGAAAAGCGAGTGCTTCTATTTTTATAAGTAATAATTTCCCGGTCAAACTCTTCCTCTCATCTCTTATCCCTGTAGATAGGGGATAAAAATACTTCCACGCTCCCTCTGACAATCGTAAGAGGTGACTAATGAGGTTGCGTCAGGTCGACGTAAAATTTCTATCAAATAGTATGAGGTGTCCTGAACAAAACTTAGGCGAATTGTCTCATCTCGGATGTACGCGGGGACAACAGGCGTGCGATATGAGGACAGTTGATGTGAGCGTAGATGATGTGGGAGATCATGTCAAGTGGAAGTTTAGGATAAGGGTGGCCCACCCCAAGTAGTTGGGATTAAGGCGAGGAAGAAGTAGACTCTTCCTCTCATCTAGATAAAAATATGTCAAAATGTTAGAATCAAAATTGGCAGAAAAATTGTTTCAATGATACGTTTTGCAGATGACATTGTGGTGATAGCAGAGAGAAAAGGTGACAATTAGCGTACAGTTGGTGAAATTTCATCAGAAATGAAAATAAATATTGCAAAAACAAAAATCGTAGTCTGATCCATAGAACTAAAAATAAAAACTGATGTAAAGAAAATATTCAAAAATTAGAACAAGTATATAAAATGATATACTTAAGGAGCAAAATGACATTCGATGGTAAGAGCATCTGAAAGATAAAACTACATATAACATTAGCAAAAACTGCCTCTTTTAAAAAACATAAATTACTCACTTTAAAAAGTTACACCTCGATATAAATAAATTAAGAATAGTACTTAGAACTGTAGAAGAAAAACGTACACTCAAAGATGCAATTAAAGAAAGACATTAGAAAATGGTTGGACAAACCGTGAAAAACCTAGAAATGTTGCATAATATAATATTAGAGGGAATGATAGAGGGAAAGAATTGTAGGACGTCCTTGAACTCTTATATACGAAAAAATAAATGTGATGCAAAGTTAACATTTTTAAGAAACTTAAAGAAAAAGCGAGCAACCGCACAGTGGGACCAAACGCTGATTTAGCCGGCCAAAAGTACCATTTTTAAATCAACTAATAAAAATTTTTTTTTTAGCAAATTTTTTTTATTATATCCTTATAAGGTCATGTACAAAAATTCAAGGCCAAAAATTGATATAGTAATGGTTGGGTGCTATTTAAATATCAAAANAACCGTTTAGATAACTTTAATTGTTTATTCTCAATGTATAATATGTGTATAATAGACATTTATTAAATAAGGTATCTCACCAAGTTTTGACATCTTTAATTATTTTTCACCCAGAAAATACTTTGTGTAACTGTTTATTTTTTACGATTTTCAAACCTGACAAAGGGAATTGAGAAAAGGATAGAAAAAACGAAGTCATTTAACATTAAATATTAGTAATAGGCTTAACACTAAAAAGTTCATACTAGTATGTAACTTTTTCAATGACAATTACTACACATTAATGAGCTCCTATAATTGTACAAAATAACTCAAGTAGTAATATTACCTACTCTATATAACCTCATTGGTACCACTTTATTATAAGTGAATCATAATTTTACTTGGAGAACGAGAAATTATGAAAATATCTTTATTGTTGAATAAATATTGATGACATCTAATTAACATACATTCAATAACCATTCTTATTAACTAGAATTCTTTGTGTGATTATTGAAGAATGTATATCTATATTCTAGATAATATAAATACTTATTAAGTATTACTTATGCTTGAACAAATTATAGAATACAAGGAAATAGTTGGTAACAACCTTTGATTTTAATCTTGGCCATTCTAATTTAAATATGTTATAATAAATTATTTAATTTGATTTACGAAGAAAATCTATAATTTTATTGGATGGCTACATTTTTTTTTATTTTTTAAATAATAAGGATAGCCTAATTGAATACTAATACATGATTTATCTAAAAATAGTTATGAACATTATAATCATTAAAGAAAAATGTTTGATCAATTTAGATAAAAGTATAATAAAGACAAAATATAATATTAATTATATGTATTATTTGAAAAGCTTGAGGATTTATCCATGTTTGCAGTTGATTGCTGACGTTTCAGACTCATTGCAGAGTCCATCTTCGGAGCGATAGTTACTGCTCGGTGGCTGAAACTATACTGGCAGCTTATCTTGTTATCAGTCTGTTTTTATATGTTGGTTGTTTATCATATCAGTTGTTTACCGTATTGATTGTTTATCATATCTGTGTATGACTCATGTTGTTTACGGTATCTTGTTTTTGTTGACGACCTTGTTTTTGATTATTGTTGTTGTTTTTGACATACTTGGCATTTTGGTCTTCCTTTTCTGCACCGACAGATTTCCATTACGTTGATAGTAACTTTTTCTTGTATTGAACTGTTTTCAGTTAAGAGCACGGTATTTCATATACTCCGGATGTTTGCATCTCTGGTAGCTAGTACACAACAGATACCGTAAACAACATGAGTCATAAACAGATATGATAAACAACCAATACGGTAAACAACTGATATGATAAACAACCAACATATAAAAACAGACTGATAACAAGATAAGCTGCTAATACAGTTTCAGCCACCGAGCAGTAACTATCGCTCCGAAGATGGACTCTGCAATGAGTCTGAAACGTCAGCAATCAACTGCAAACATGGATCAAATCCTCAAGCTTTTCAAATAATATGACAATCCATGAAAGTTTCAACACATTTATTATATGTGTTATGTATCATTTTATAAGTGTTGTTTAAAACTAAAAGTTTTAATTCCTTGACTTTTTGGAATGAGTGCTTATAATAAAATACTGACAAGTAACATTAGTAAAAATATTATACAAAACTAACCAAATAATCATTATTATATTATTATTTTTATTATATAATCATCATGTTCAGTAAATTTATTAATAGATTGAAAGACAATAACAATAAATTAATAAATTTAACAGTTATTTTACTGAAATGATTTTGGTGAAAATTATTAAAAGAATATATATGCAACTGCTTTTCACTTAGTAAATTATACCTTCATATTCTACGATTATAAAAATAGGATTATTCCAAACTTGTATAATTGTACATAAATTAAGTGTAAATTACAATTATAGTATATATATATACTATAATATAGAATGATATTAAACATATATTATTTATATTTGAAATTTTGCACTCAGAAACGTTTTCTGAATGACCTTATAAAGTTATATTCAACACAGTATTAATAAAAAAAACTACTAATTTAATTACACATACTCACATTATCAGACTACTAAATAAATAAACATCTGGATCTTCAACGTCAATGAAGGTAACATTAAAATCGAAAAATGTATATGCAATTTTTTAGTAATTTTTGTGGTTTTTTTTTTTTTTTTTGAGATAAATATTTTTATACTTTTTAGTTATAATTATATTTTAAACATATTTTTAAGATTAAATCTGCATCTTATACATATTTATATAACTAATCATAGCTATTGATTTAGTTTATTTAAAATATTTCACATTCTGTTAGCAACAACCTATTTGTCAAAGATTGTTTATACATGTTTATATATTTTCTTATATCTATATTAATTGTGTACATTTGAATTTATTTCATTCAATGATGACAGCAAATGGTATATTGAGTTACACCGGTAAATATATGTATTAATGATAAGTACTTATAACTTAGCTTAAAGTTAAAGTAAATTAATGAATATAATTTTTTAAGAACTTAATTCAGCAAATATTAAGTAAATATATTTTACAATAAAATTGTCTCTGTACATTCAATAAATAAAATAAAACTTGTTAGCAGTCAATACTAATAATTTTTTAATGTTAAGATTGTTGTAAAAAATTGGAAAAAATAGCTTTAAGGCGAAAAATCTATGGATCCGAATCTAGATATAAATTGCACAAAAATGTAAGAAAAATAATCACTAAAATTATACAACAACTCAAATTCTATTTAGTATACTAACGACTCATGATTTTAATGTATTTTAAATCATAAATCGATTAATAAATCGTGATTTATCGTGATACCATTCATTTTAATATTTCCTCTAAAGTCATAATTGGTAGCATATTTGAAATATGTTTAAGACATCAACTAAACATAATGAATCCAAAGACAATGTAGTCAAAATTGCAAAAAATGTATTTGAAAAAATTCCATTCGTGTGTGGTTCTTCGGCAAGTAAAAGTCATCATATAGGTGCAAATATCCAAACAGCATTGTCAATGGTTAAGGTAAAGCTAATGTTATTAAAAAAATTACAACCAAAGAAATCATTAAACAACCAATTTGATAGATGGGTTTTAAAAAAATAACTATAAAATATTTATACATAATATAACTTGATAACAAATACTAAATGTTTAAAATTCAGCAATTTCGGGAACGTATGGATGATAACATCATGTTGACCATGTCCAGATATTATGAAACAGAATCAGAATTTTTATTTAAAAAAAACAATAAAGGATCTTGTGGTTCAGAGGAATACAGTGATTGTTCATCATATTGTCCAGCCTTAAGTGAAAACTGGAAAGAATACCAAGAAGAAGATACTTTTGAAGGAACCACGCGTGATCCCTGGTCTGTAAGACAATCAGATGGATACGATAATAACATCGTTGTGAGTTAATAGAATTAATACCAAGAACTGTTTTTATACATTTTTTAATAAGACTAATCTTCAAGTTCCATAATCGTAAGCTTAAATGATTTCCTAGTTAGAATACTCAAATAGATTAAAGAATAACACTAAAAATATTTTAAAATTTACTTAAGAAAATTATTTGTAGATAAATGATGTATTTAGTGAATATCTTATAAAGTAGCAGTACAGGATGACTTTTTATGTGAAAGCATTTTTATTTTTTAAATATAACAACAATGTTATTGTTCCCAACTAAAATAGATAATAAGAAAAAAACCCAGCACAAGGGGGTCGCGGCATAGTGGTGACGTGGCATAGTTGGATCAAGTATAATGATATCTGACAGTGATTAAAATCACTATCAAAAATAAACGCTTCGATGCAAATTTGTAGATAGTGTTTAATTAAAAAAAATTTGTGGATTACTCCAAAAGCTACATGATCTCCTATTTCCTTATTAATATCCTGAATAAGATAAAGTATGTCGAATGAAAAAGGGATTATTAAAAAATAGTATTTCTCATAGAAAAATTATGTTGATCCACACACTTTTCAATAAGTTATAGCATTATAAAGTTAAAAATGTAAAAAATAAAATCGAGAATTTTCACAAAATAATAGCATTCGGTAGCTATTTTCACCGTGAAGACAAAATAAAGTCCGAAATTTTTTTTTTTGCATAATTAAGTACATTATATTAGCTTTAATTTAAGATATATATAAAAGTGTCAGACTTTCCGGAAAACTTTCAAAATTTAAGTTGAAAAAGTTGTCATTTTGAATCCCCATATGTAGGTAGGTAAAAAGTCAGATTTATAAAAAAAAAACGGTAGCACAGTGGGGTTGAGGCACAGTGTGGACGAGGCATAGATGGGACAAGTATAGATGATATCTGACAGTGATTAAAATCACTATCATAAGAAACGCTTCGATGCAAATCTGTAGATAGTGTTTCCTTTAGAGAAATTGGTGAAATATTTTAAAAGCAACATGAACTCTTATTTCTTTAATTATATCCTGATTAGTAGTTCTTTGATTTTAAAATATAATATATGAATAAATACTAATTATAGTTTTTAAATTTAGTATGAAATTGTGAGGCCAGCTATGATGTATGGTTCATAGTGTTGGGCGGTTGATAAGAAAATAGAGCAGAGAATAAATGTAGCAGAGATGATAATGCTTAGTTGGATGAGTGGAGTGATTAGAGATGATAGGATAAGGAATGAGCGTATAAGAGGAAGTATAGGTGTTGTGTCAATCGTGGATAAGATGACAGAAAATAGACTTAGATTGTTTAGTCATGGTATGAGGAAAGAAGAATCGAAAGCTGTAAGAACAGTTATAGAAATGAATGTTGAAGGAAGAAGAGATAGAGGAAGACCAAAAAAGAGATGGAGGGATGCTATTGAATGCGATTTGAGGACAGCTGATGTGAGCGTAGAAGATGTGGGAGATCGTGACAAGTGGAATCTTAGGATAAGGGTGGCCGACCCCAAGTAGATGGGATTAAGGCAAAGAAAAAGAAAAAGATTACCAGAAATTCCAGTGGCAATTGACATAATATGATTGTTGTTTGAGAATGTACAATTTAGCGTTTAGTTGGGTTTAAACAATATAGTGTCAAATCAATTACCTACTCTATCGGCTGTATCTTAATATACACTACACTTAAATGATACTATAAATAAATAAACTCACATATATACATTTATATGCATTTATAACATTGTGTCTAATGTATAACATGATAAAAAGTAACCGTAAATGAAAAAATGGAATATTAATTTTAGTACTCATATTAAATGTAATGTAACTCAAAAAATATTTGTTTAAATGCAAAAATATATGATAATTTTTTTGTTTATAATTGTCTTTTAAACAACTTTTGTACGAAACTTTTTTTTTAAGTTAAATATTTTTTGAGAAAATTAAAAAAGCTCATATTTTTGAACTTTTGCGAGGCTGTAAAAAAAAAGCTCAATTTCAATCAAGGAGGACTATAAGTATGTCATTATACATATTTTAATTCAACTATTAATAAAACAAAAACGGTAGCACAGTGAGGTCGCGGCATAGTGGAGACATTGCATAGTAGGGTCCAGTATAGATTTAATCTGACAGTGATTAAAATCACTATCATAAGAAACGCTTCGATGCAAATCTGTAGATAGTGTTTAATTTTAAAAAATTGATGGATAATTGCAAAAGCAACATCAACTTCTATTAAAATAAAATACAAAACCCATAATTATCATACAAAAATAGTATATTTTTCAATATGGTAGCCATTTGCGTATAGAAGATAGATCGTCGGGACAAATTTTTTTTTTTCATTTTGTAGTACATAAAATAAGCTTTAATTTTATATATGTTTAAAGGACGCAGTATTTCCGGAACATTTTCAAAAATTAAGTTGAAAAAGTTATTTTTTGTAAAAAAGTTACTATTTTAAATCCTCCCAGTGAGCAGAATAAGTGTTAGATTTTCAAAAAAAATTATATCAAATGAAAGGGAAATATCTAAGGTTTCAATACAAAAAAATATTATTTTTATTTGTTCATTTTTGAAAAAGTTATGGCAGTTTTAAGTACAAAAAACATCCCGATAAAATGTAATTTTTATCGCAAACTTTACATTATTTTTTAAATTTTCGACAGCCATTTGCACATAGAAGATAAGATGTCGGGACAAATTTTTTTTTTTCATTTGATAGTATATAACATAACCTTTGANGTCGGGACAAATTTTTTTTTTTGATTTTATAGTACATAAAATAAGCTTTAATTTGATATATGTTTAAAGGACGCAGTATTTCCGGAACATTTTCAAAAGTTCAGTTGAAAAAAATTTATGTTTTTTACAATATTTTAAGTTTTGAACGCCCCCTATATAAGGAGAAATTGTCCAATTTTAATAAAAAGTATGTCAAATGAAAGATGTACTTATAATGTATTTAGAAAAAAAAAATTTGTGCTGATATATACATTTTTCAAAAAGTTATAGCATTTTTAAGTTGAAAATTTAAAATCGAAAATTTTAACACAAAAATAGTGTTTTTTTAACTACGGCAGCCGTTTAAATGTAGAAAAAAAAAATTAATGAAACTTAAAAAACGGTAGCACAGTGGGGTCACGGCATAGTGGAGACATTGCATAGTTGGATCCAGTATAGATTTAATCTGACAGTGATTAAAATCACTATCATAAGAAACGCTTCGATGCAAATCTGTAGATAGTGTTTAATTTTAAAAAATTGATGGATAATTGCAAAAGCAACATCAACTTCTATTAAAATAAAATACAAAACCCATAATTATCATACAAAAATAGTATATTTTTCAATATGGTAGCCATTTGCGTATAGAAGATAGATCGTCGGGACAAATTTTTTTTTTTCATTTTGTAGTACATAAAATAAGCTTTAATTTTATATATGTTTAAAGGACGCAGTATTTCCGGAACATTTTCAAAAATTAAGTTGAAAAAGTTATTTTTTGTAAAAAAGTTACTATTTTAAATCCTCCCAGTGAGCAGAATAAGTGTTAGATTTTCAAAAAAAATTATATCAAATGAAAGGGAAATATCTAAGGTTTCAATACAAAAAAATATTATTTTTATTTGTTCATTTTTGAAAAAGTTATGGCAGTTTTAAGTACAAAAAACATCCCGATAAAATGTAATTTTTATCGCAAACATTACATTTTTTTTTAAATTTTCGACAGCCATTTGCACATAGAAGATAAGATGTCGGGACAAATTTTTTTTTTTCATTTGATAGTATATAACATAACCTTTGATTTGATATATGTTTAAAGGACGCAGTATTTCCGGAACATTTTCAAAAGTTCAGTTGAAAAAGATCTATGTTTTTTACAATATTTTAAGTTTTGAACGCCCCCTATATAAGGGGAAATTGTCCAATTTTAATAAAAAGTATGTCAAATGAAAGATGTACTTATAATGTATTTAGAAAAAAAAAATTTGTGCTGATATATACATTTTTCAAAAAGTTATAGCATTTTTAAGTTGAAAATTTAAAATCGAAAATCGAAAATTTTAACACAAAAATAGTGTTTTTTTAACTACGGCAGCCGTTTAAATGTAGAAAAAAAAGTGTCGGGACAAATTTTTTTTTTTCATTTTGTAGTACATAAAATAAGCTTTAATTTGATATATGTTTAAAGGACGCAGTATTTCCGGAACATTTTCAAAAATTAAGTTGAAAAAATTAGTTTTTGTAAAAAAGTTGCCATTTTAAATCCCCCCCCAATGAGCAGGTTAAGTGATAGATTTTCAAAAAAATGATATCAAATGAAAGGTAAATATCTAAGGTTTTAGTATAAAAAAAAATTATGTTGATTTGTTGATTTTTCAAAAAGTTATGGAAGTTTTAAGAAAAAAAAGTGAAAAAATTTCGAAAATTAGCGATTTTTAAATTTGTAATTTTTTTGGATATTTCCCCCATTTACGGGGAACGAGGGAATTTTTTTCAATTTTTAAGGGTAATGTCTTCAACTAGATACGATTTATGATCTTTTGACATATTATTCATCAATATCGGTTCAGTGAGATCTGAGATTGAGCGTATACAGACACAAAAAAACAAAAAAAAACACATCATAGTAAAATTAATAACTTCTCAGCTTCGCATCGAAGCTAAAATATACCAAATGATAGGTAAAGACATCATGCATTTATAAAAAAAAAATTTATATTAATCCATACATCTTTCAAAAAGTTATAGCATTATAAAGTTAAAAATATAAAAGAGAATTTTTTTACAAAAATCGTATTTTTTTTATTAACTTTGATGTCTGCTTTCACCATGAAGATAAAATAAAGTTCGAAATTTTTTTTTACTATGATGAAGTATATTACATTAGCTTTAATTTAAGATATATATAAAAGTGTCAGACTTTCCAGAACACTTTCAATAGTTAAGTTGAAAAAGTTCTACTTTCTACGTGCATTTTTTAGATTTGAACCCCCCTCGTATATAGGGAAATGATCCGATTTAAAAAAACAGTATTTCGAATGAAAGATGTATATAAATACTACTTCTCATGAAAAAAATGTATTGATCCATACATTTTTCAAAAAGTTATAGCATAATAAAGTTAAAAGTGTAAAATGCAAAATCGAAAATTTTCACACAAAAATAGCATTTGGTAGCCATTTTCACCGTGAAGATAAAATAAAGTCCGAAATTTTTTTTTTTTCATGATAAAGTACATTACATTAACTTTAATTTAAAATATATATAAAAGTGTCAGACCTTCCGGAACACTTTCAAAATTTAAGATGAAAAAGTTTATTTTTTGTGAAAAAGTTGTCATTTTAAATCTCCTCCTGTGGGCAGACAAAGGGTCAAATTTACAAAAAAAATATACCAAATGATAGATAAAGACATCAAGCATCTATAAAAAAAAAGTTATATTGATTTGTTTATTTTTGAAAAAGTTATGTTTTAAGAAAAAAAAAATTTTTTAAATTTCAAAAAATAGCGATTTTTTAATTTGTAATTTTTTGGAGATTTTCCCCATTTACGGGGAACGAGGGAAGTTTTTTCAATTTTTGAGGGTAATGTCTTTGACTAGATACAATTTGTGATCTTTTGACGTATCGTTGAAAGAAATTGGTTCGGTGAGAGCTGAGAAAAAGTGGTAACAGACACAAAAAAAAAAAACACATCTTAGTAAAACCAATACCTTCTCAGCTTCGCATCGAAGCTAAAAGCATAAAAATTGATTTAGCTTAGAAAGTAATACGGAAAAAATTTAAATTTAAATTCTTTTATTTTCGACTTCCCTTACCCACCTAATTTTATCCCTCTTATACGCTTAATGTTGCAATTTTGTTAACACTCTTAGTAACACAAATATTTTTTTTATCCCATGTAAAATTTAATTTCATTGTAGTGTTCTCACGAAAAAATTTCTTGTAACTGTTCAGCCCGGCCAATGGAAAGCTATCAAAAAGTAATGGCTCCATACGTAAAGAAATTTATACAAAAACAAAAACTGCATGTCGATCAAAATCCATTTATTAAAGAAAAAACCGTTCAACATTATGAATTGTTATCCAAACGCGTACAAGAACTTAAACAAACTATGATAGCAACGAATATAGAATTGTTAGAACAAACAAAGTAGATATTTACTCTATTTATGTATTAAAACTTTTTGATTTTAAAATATAGGTAAAAGAGCTAAATTCATAATAATTTTAAAAAGTAACGAAACTTTTGAGTCATACCCTCAACTTATCCTCCCATTTTTGTAAAATTGTTATCAATTCATAATTGAACCCTCTCGTGCCCTGTCCAATTACAAGTGTGCAATAAAATAAACAATGTATAGCGCCCCATAATCGTTAATATTGTTAGAAGATACTCAAAATTATATGAACAATACACCCGACAACAAGACGTTAACATAGCTTCTCAATTACTGGAAGTCGAAGACAAAATAAACGATTTGATAGCCCAAGTTGAACAGGCCGTAGATATGTACAAAGAGGTAATCAAATATGTTTTTGATAGAAAATAACGATAATTTCAATTACTCTAATAATTCAACAGCGTCCATAATGTATCTAATTGATTATCTCTTTCCCTTGCTTACTCAAACACACAGATACAGACGGCATTTTTACATTTTTAGGGATTTTTATTTAAAATTTAAGATATTGAGAAAAAGTATATAAAAGGCAGCATCTATAAGATCTATAATTTCGTCTATAGCGGCAAAATACCTTTAGTCAGCCCTGTCTACGTGTACTGTACTATTCGTGATTTGTCATAATCAATATTTTGAAATACTAAAACAATGTCACGTAAAATCATATTATAATTATATAAATTGTTAAATAGTTTATATAATAAATAATTTTATAATTTGTTATCTGTACTGTTTCAAAAATAAGTATCTAGTTTATCTAATGATAAAAAATTTGCCACCGTTGTTACTAATAGACAACTAAGCGAACGCTGATTTCGATGAAGACAATTCTTTGCTCCTTCTAAATTCCTAGAACTTTTTTCATATTTTATGACACATTGCCGTCACCAATGATAAAATCTCTTATTTGTCAATCATTGGCAATTGTGTTGCCTACAACTACTACTCTGTAACATCTATTTAAGAATATCTAAAAACGCATTTAAGTAGACACAAAACGCAATTTATCTGGTTGTGTTAATTACATAGAAAAAAATGAACGTTATAAATTGAAAAGGGCGCTCCATTAATTTATCAACACTACTTTTTAGAATTATGATACATTTTGAATATGAATAAAATGGTTCTTTTTAAAACACCACAATTTTTGGAATCACTAAAATCTTAAACTCCGATTGAAAGATATTATTCATAATTTACGTTTAATCAATTTGACCTTACCATGTGTTTATTTAAAACCATATTTTAAACTAAACATTTTTTGGTATTTTTTTTTCATAAAATCATAGTTACCTACAATAATTTTTAACTTAAGTTGTATTTGTTGTTTAATAAAAAGATTTTTCAGGGAACTGCATTATTGGCTATACAAAAGTCAAATGATGAAACATCATCTACATATTTGCTAGCTCTTGCTAATGCTGATAATGAAACAAAACCAAAGGAAACTAATGCCGTTCGTTTATCTAAGCTCTTAAAAAGAATTCAATTTTTTCAAGAAAAACTAAAAACTGGTTATTATTGTAAAAACTTCTCTGAAATAGTAGAATAAATATATGTATTTCTTTTTTTTTTTTCACTTTGTATGGACTATAAAAGGGTCATTTCAGCCTTCTCCGATGAAGAGGTTTTTTAATCTTAAGTACTTAAAAGTGGATTTTAAAAAAACCATTGTCAATAATATGTTGACAATTTTAATTGAAATGTTTCAAATCAATTATAATATTTCTCTATCTTAAAAATATAATGTATTTTATAAAATATTTCTTTATTTTTGGAATTTAAAAGTAATACAACAAAAAACTTGCAACATTAACATTTTTATTTCAATTGTCATATGGAAGGTAATTCATAAATTAAATACAATTTGTCATGATAGCAAAAGTATTTCAATACGCTTTAACATACCAAAAACAATTTTTGTATAAATGGTTAATAAAATGCAATGGTAGAAAAAAAATTTGTAGAATAGTTTCACATTCCACAATTTCATATAGTTTAACTTACTACATAAAATAAAAACTAAATATAAGTAAAACTTAATTGACAAATATAACAAATGAACACATTTAAGTTGTACAATTTTTTACACAGATTTTTAATTCTCGCTAAAATTCCAATTATAAACTGGTGCATATCCAAGAATATATTTAATGCACATATAGATAATTTTTAATGTGTACCAAACAAAAATCCAAAAAGAGAAGCTATTCAATTGCATAATTAATGTTATGATAAAAAGCACCCAAAATATTCTAAAATAGGAAGCTAATGGTCTAAAACTTATAGTTGGAGGAATAACTTTTGGAGTTCTCACTTTTCTTCCTGATCCATCCTGTCTAGGTTCATATATATAAATTTTCATTGGTGGTCTTATGATAGCTTGGCGTAAAACACCAGCAATAACACTTTCTGATATACACATATTAATTATAAATGGATACCACTGAAATAATATAAAATATTAACTTGTCTCTTAAATGTACTGTAAATTTTTATGTAAAAAATCAATTTAACTATAAAATTACACTACAAAATTATACTTAAAATTAAATTGTGTTTATACCTATTTTAAGTTTATATAAGTTATATACATAAATTCTATACTTAAATTTATTCATTTTTATTTTTAATTAGTAATTAGTTTATAAAACTAATACATTCCAATTTTTGTTAAATAACATATTATTTAAGATGTTTATTATAAATGTGTGTATATTCTTTTCAATATTTTGTTTAACTTTGTAATATAATTTACTTATAATAATTTTTTTTGGTAATCAAATAAAATTTTGAACATTAAATAAACTTGAGTTTGTTTTTAATAAGCTTTATATGACCATTATTAAATTAGAAATATTTATGTAATTTAATTAACCTATTAAATACTTATAAGAATAAAACTGAAATCAAAAGATAATTTTGTTAAAACTTAATGAGAAATATTTTTTACATCAAGTAAAATAATAAATAAATACTAAATAATAAATTATTTAAAAGTAAAAAGTATATAATCAATGAGGTTTACTCACATAACGTTCTACAGCATTCCTCAAATAAATACTCAATTTCACTAAATAATTGTTTTCATATGATAATGTATCAAGAAAATCCGGATCAATTTCCCATTCTATTGAACGATTTATTTTTTTAGATGGCGAAATCTAATAAAAACATAAATGTTAGTAATATTACAGGTTTAATTATTTTGATAATCCTAATTCAACTTACATATTCAAGTGATGTAGCAGATGACTGACTAGCAAATGATACATTTAGAGATTGCTGACTTTGATTTAGATTTAAACTAGACACTGACCAATTTAATAAATTTTCTGTTATTGGAGTATTCGTTGCATTATTATTCTGAAATAATCAATATTATAATTACAATGATTTAATACATAACTTAAATAAAATTAATTAATAAACACTACAAAAAAATTTTTTTACTAACAATAATTTGTTCCATAAACAGTTTTGAAGACTTAAGATTTGTTTGTATTTCTTCCCACTCTGGCAAAGTAAAATCTGATATTTTGTTTTTTCTAGGAGGCAACATCATATCAAAAAATGATGAATTATTTCTATCTTTTCTATCTTCTTGAAAACGATAAAACTCTTGAGCAACATGTTCCAAAGATTTTTGTAATTTGGTGTGAAACAGTTTATACTAAAATGAAAGTATTAAATTAAATTTATTTAATTCAAAAAAAAAAAATTATTCTAAATAATTAAAGATAGTGCAAAATTATAAATTGTATAAATACTTGATATTAGATTAAAATTGATAATCTATATAAAAAATCATAAAAGTATTATCTATAAGATGTATATTATTTTAGATAACTATTCCTTTTCTATATAAAATAAAAAGAGGGGCGGAATGAAAACACAAATGAAAAATAGAGTGAAAAAATTAAGAACTAACCTCTACCATTCGTTCATCAGAAAACATTGCTTCATATTTGAAATAGGGCCCTTCAGTTTCAACTAAGCTCTCAGATAACAACAAATTCCATGTCTTTTGTTGAGGCTTATTGTTTAAAAAACTATTTTCAATATCAAGGACAATTTTCAATAAATATGGATGAGTAAAAACCTAAAATAATTTGTTGCAACTATAAAATTTAATTCAAAATAGAAAATTATATTTATTTATATTATTTAAACAAATCTTTATTTAGTTTAAATTTAACATTTTTAGATCTTAAGAATAAATTAAAATACTCCACTAAATTTAACTTTAAAGAAAACACAATGAGAATAAAGTAAAAAGTAAGTGAAATTACTTTAAGCAATCGAAATATCATAGCTGAATATCGAGGGGAACAAATATCTATACAATTAAATCTTTTTATAGCACGGTAAAACAATTTTGTATAACATAACAAATTTCTTATGATAAATATCTTCCACTTATCATTCATTTCTTTTTCTGTGATTACTCGTTGTCTAAAAAAATGAAATTTATTAATCATAATTAATAACTGTAAAAGTTATACTTACTGAATTATTGATCCATCATAACGCCATGGTTGTATATAGCTAAGCCAATTTTCTAACAACAAGCGAAATGAGAAATCTTGAGGCCAATGATCCATATAATGTGCTAAATATTGATAAATTTTTACACCGTACCGAGCACTTAACATTCTGAAACAAAAAACATTTTTTTTAATTTATTAAAATAAAAATATCTTCGAATTACAACTGCTATTTGATATCATTGTATCACAATAGGCAGTATAAATAGAGTACTTTTTTTCCCATTAATTATGTAGTGAATATTTTTAAATTATTTACATACTCCAATAAATTGAATATAAAATATTACGTTTCTGTTAACAAAGAAGAACAACACTAATGTTTGTCGTATTATATACATTTCTTTAAACATATTATGTTAAAAAATATATATCAAACATTAAATTTTTATATGAAAATCATTATATATATATACAAGAGCATGTCCAAAAATTAATATATGAAATTATACTATTCTTTTTTAAGGGTTGACCATATTATGGTATAATATATTTTATAGGTATTTAACTAAAATTTTCGTTATAATAGTTATTCAAATAAATTAAGTCAACAAATTTTAAAATATATTTAAGATTCATACAATTTTAAATTATCCAGTGGTTTATGATCTGCACAGTTGGAATAATTATGTAAATGTTTGATAAACAATCTTACAATTTTTGTTAAATCAGATGAAGGAGTCTGAAAAAAATTTGAACAGTATACTATATTAAAAATATCATAAATAGTATTCTAACAATATTTTACAGACATAAACACAAAAAAGTTTCAATGGAAACTTACTGAGCTATAATTGCAACTTAACCAAATATCAGCAAAATAAAAAGCAAGTAATTCACTACGCCATGTAGCTTCAGATGTAAGCACACAAGATGAACTTTCAACGTCACTACTTAACATTTTAAATTTTAAGTCTTTTATGTTGGTAACATCTTTCCTAATGAAGCTGAAAGTTTTACTAAATCAAGAAATAATAAGAATGATTAAAAATTACAAAAAAGTTAATGAATACAAAAATTAAAAACGTTTATTAGATATTTAGTAGTATACTCAAATAAGATTTTACCCTGGACTTGAAAATGGTTTTTGACTTTGCATGGACGATAAAACATTATACTGTAATTGTGGTGGAACCATAGCAGCAGAATTTTCCAAAGGTAAAAAAAAGTTTAGATATTCTAAACATAAATATCTATATAATGACTGTTCATTGGAATCAATAACATTGTTGATAGAATCCAATGAAATTAATTTAAGACCATAAACAGTAAAGTGGAACATATAAAATTCAAAAGAATCTAAAATTTATTATTCAGGAAAAAAAAAATAAACACTTTCGTATATAAAATAATGTATAATAAATAATGCTAAATTTTAAAGTATTTAATAAATAAAAGCTATTGATATAACACCAACTACTGATTTCTGTTATTATAATTAAAACTTATCATAAAAATGAATAGTTAAACCAATAATTGTTTTTTACTTTAGTCTTTAATGTATAATGTGGTCTAAAATTTATGATCAAACCATAAAACATTATTCTCATTGCAATGAAGTGGATTAAAATTTAAATAAATATTTTTTTCATAAATAATATATTACAGTAGCATAAGATAAATAACCCACTATCTTGTTATTTTAAAATTATTAGAAAATAAAAATTGAAAATAATTTTGTACTTACAATACTAGCTGTTTTTATTCTATCTAAAAATTTAGTATTGTACTCTTTATTGTTTCAATAGCACAAATCTATAGTAATACTAAAATTTTTCTAATACCACACAACTCTCTCCAATATTTTTAAGTACTTCACATTATATTAAATCTTGACTATTTTTATTTTATACAGAATACACTTGATCTACTAAACTATCAAATAAAATTTTATACTTCTAATTTTTCACAGTAAAAATAAATTATATAAAATATGCTTAAAATTTAGTCAAAAAATGTAAAAATAGTAAAATATTAAGTTAATTAAAAGTTATGAAGAATTATAAATTGAAATGGAATTGATCTTTACATAACAAATTTTAATTAGATTTTGTTAGCTATGCAAAGTATAAAATTTAAGTTACAAGTACTAAAACAAAATTGTTTTTTTGTACTATCACATTTCCTTAAATATTTATAAGAACATTTATTTAAAGGATACTTAAAAGAAGACCAACTGGTAAACTAGAATCTGAATGTTGTAAAAATCGTAGCCCATAAAATGTTTTTGATGATAATTTTTGAATCCTTCTCGCCAATTCAATCTGATAAAAAAATTGTAATTTTTTTTTTGATAAATTACAAACTATTAAATAAATAAATAAACAAGCTGTACATAGTTTTCAAATAATAATAAATAGTACTACTTACTGGTATATCAGAAAAATTAACATGAAATTTGAATGAGCTATTTGAAAGAAGCATATAACAAAGTTTAAATATAGGTCCTTGACAAGATAGTAGATAATACACTGCTTCTGTTTCCTTACTCATGTATCGCTGGTTTTGTATTATCTGAAAGTATATTTTTTTTAATAGCTCGTTAATGGACAGTAAATAGCATAGTGTTATACAAAATTTTAATATTACTGCTATAGTAGTAATATTGGATTCTATTCATAAACATGTTAGAGAGAAAACAATATCATGTATGTGTCCTTTATCTGTTTATACTTAATGAGTTAATCCACTGAAATATAACTTAAATTGAAATGCTTTGCTCATTACTAAAGAAATTTTTGGATAAAAATATTGTTCAAAAAAACTGTAAAGTTAATGATGAAAGAGAGATGCTATAACTATATACATTGACTTAAAATATTTTAAACAATTTTTATTATTTAATCTAAATCATTAACAGCAAGATCATTAGCCGTTTAATAGTTTTAATATTAGATATAGTGTCTCAGACCTAAATTATTACGCTAATATAATTTGAATTATCATTTTGTAGATATTTTTTTTTTTAAATTACTACATTATATATGTACTGTTTAATATTATTTAGATATAAAAAATGGTATTTTTAACTTCAAAACTATTTTTACAAAAATACATTATTTTGATTATGACATTTTGAAATGACAGTTATAACAAATTTTAAATAAAAAATTACAAATTACCAATACTAAGTTTCTGCATTGAGGTAACAATATTATATAAATTAATAGTTGACATTATTAAAAAAATCATAGAATTACATAAAGTAATAAAGGAGTTATAAATACAAGTAAACTTCGATTAAAAAATTTAAATCTACAAATATCCTCAAAGGAACTAAATTTTTAATTAGTTATACAGTACCAACTTACTCTAATTTTTAATTGATCCAAGCCCAATCCTCTTGCTGAACCCCGTCCTAAAATTTCATATATCTTATCAGTGAATGAATTTTGTAAATCTCTTTCAGACCATTCTTCAATACGGGTAGTTAAAAGCTGACAAGTATCAATTACTGTTAATACTGGTGTCGGTCCTTTTGAAGGTGTAGAAAATGATGAAGAAGAATCTAGAACAATTTAAATAGTATAATACAATTTATGTTTTAAATGTGCGACGAACAAAAATTATACTTCGTGTTGAATTTGATGGGGAATAACAAATAAATGGAGAATTCATGTTTGTAGTCACGTTTTTAAGCTCAAAAATTATTTTTAATATTAAATAAATTAAACACTTAATGATTCATAATTAAAATAATATTTTTTAATTTCACTCACTAATTACAGAACAAAATAATCTATCATAAAATATCAAAAACATGTAACCGTCGCCTCTAGAGTAATGATAAAATTTATCTAGTTAAAAAATATATGGTAAGTTTTAATGATAAGAAAGATCTTTTATATTCTGATAACAACGAAAATGTATAGTGGCATCAATGTTGGTCATTTTGAAAATTTGATAAGATAAACTCGTTGGCCTACCTATTATCTATATATTTTTAATTCATTAAAAATAGAAAGATAGCGCCACTAAAACAATATAATAAAGAAAATTAATTTCCCGGGTATTAATTTGACTAAAATGAACTAAAATGACATAGATGATGCTATAACATATAAGTTCAACAATTTAATAAATCTAGTAAATCTTTCTAAAGACCTCATTTTATTAAGTCATATTATTTAATTTTTAAATTCCAATTTCACAATAAAAGACTCGGATGAAATTATGTTGTCTATAATTTTACCGTTAATTGTCAGTGTTTAAAGTTTCTACTGCGTAATTCTAACCAATCTCGCAAAAAAAGAGGCAATATAAGCCGAAAAACTTGTAGCTATAGCTTGTAAGGGGGTATTGTAGTTATTGCTAATACTCCCTTATTATTTTGTATATTTATTGTGTGTTATACTAATTGTTCCTTTTGTTATTATTAAAAAGAAACGGCATTAGACGACCCGGGGAAAGTAATGCTTTATGGCAAGTTTACCCCGATTGTTTTATAGTGCATTGCAAGGGGTAAGGGTTAGATAAGGTTTTAAAAAAGTATTTCCATGGTATTCAAGAAAGTATTCTAACCGAGTATGAATTCTATCCATTTCAGTTCTCACCAGAAATTAAAAATATATAAATACAAATTCCAAAACTTTTTTAATTCCTTAATAAATTTTATGATAGGCTACGATGAGTTGTTAGCAAATATGAGTATAAAAAAACATATTTAAAAATAAGAAAACCTATTTAAAATTTCCAATAAGACCAATGTAATTTCTAAAATCTTTGGTGTCTAAAATTTGTTGTAATCAATACTCTCTCTCTCAGAAGAAATGTCGAGTCCTGTGCCTGCTAACTTTTATAATTTATTCAGAGCCTCGTATTTCATAGTTCTCACACAATACAATAAATTATTTCTTGAGTATATACCCATGTAATGATACCTATGTATTCTTCTATATATTACGATATACATGTTTATGTTATAATCAGGGCTCGGATATTATAGCACTAATAAAATAGATTTTTAGCGCTTTAAAACACCACAATAAGGACTATAAATAGCACTAAAACATAAAAATATGCAAATTACAATTTCAATACAAACTTTTTTTAATAATAATTTTTTTCAAACATAACTATTTAAAACTTAAATGTTATAGTTGAATATTTATTTTTATTTTATAGTATATATTAGGGTGGTCCTTATTTTTTTTTTTCGAAATTTGATCGGGCCACCCCCCAAATTTGTTCAAGTTTGATACAAGTTTGTGTAAATTCTACCATGCAAAGGGTAAGCATTTGCTGCATCGCAAGCCCAAAAAACATTTATTCCATATTTTGCAGATTTAGATGGAATGTACTGTGTAAATTTTGTGTGTCCTCTGTAAGGAAATAATTGTTCATCTACTGTTATATTTTCTGTAGGTTTATAATTTTTATGTAAGTTTTTATTAAGCATGTCCAAATATCACGAATCGGTGCAGCTTTGTCTGTTGTAATACGTATATTACGAGTGTTTACATTATCAAAACAAATAAACCTTAGCAACATTTTGAATCGATCTCGAGACATTGCAGCTCGAATGAGAGGTAACGAGTCTAATTTCCACATTTCTGATACATGTTCTTTATGAGATCTATGTACACCAGATACGAGAAGAATTACATACAATAAGATATAAAGCGATAGACTGACGACAATGAAATAATTTACCGGAAAAGCACAGATAACTATATTGTAGGTACCCGGGTACCTACACCGTCACAAGAAGTGGTTTTTTTGTCAGTCACATAAAGGTTAAATACACATCCGTGACGTCTGTCGATGTTGAGCGGTCATTCTCAACATATAAAACTCTATTGTCAAATAACCGTAGATTATTCAAATATGAAAATGTATGAAAACATATTATTATTCAGTGTAATTCTTTAGTTAAATAATATAAATTCATTTAAAATTAATACATTAAAACAGTAATATATATACTAGGGTGGTCCTTANAATAGAACATTTATAAGTTAATTAAACACTTACACGATGCTTTTATTTCATCATAAGTACGTTTTTTTCTTTTTTCTGTTTTTTCAAAGCGTAAATACTTTTTTTGTTCAGCTTGATATGAATCATAATCGATTCCACTCAACGATCCCGGACGACCTTTTTCACGTTGACGAATTAAAAATTGTTTATCCAACTCAATACTCATCAGATTCATAGCGTCAGCATGTGCTATATCAAAAAGGTCGTCAAATTTATCGATAAAACAATTTTCTTTTTTTTTTTGAGTATCAGTTTGTCGTGATGCATTTTTTTGCAAACTTCGCCATTCGTCGTAAATTGCTTCCAATTTTAATATACAGTGACGTACTTCACGAGTTGGAATGCGAGCTTTTTGCCAAAATATTAAAACCTCATCTATTACTAATCGTGCACTATCACGAATGCTTAATTTGACTTCACGTATATTATGAAACAATACTCTAAGAACTTGTATATTAGAAGGTAATTTACAGCCAAAAATTTGATGGACAGTATGACCTAATAAATAAATCTGTTTACGCAAATTTACTTTGTGTGACATATTACAACACTACTTTTAATATTAAATAATAAAAGAAAAGCGTAGAAAATAACAAAAATTACACTTAATCAGCGTTAAAACGAACAAAATATAAACAAAAACTTGGTACCAAGCCCGTTCAAATGCTGCAATAGGTATTTGCGAGTATAAACGAGTTTTAAACTATTGTAATAGTATAATTTTACTTATTGGTTACAATCAAACCTATTATCGAAGAATTATCAACAGGTGTAATCTAACAATAGGTGACAAAAATATATTAATTTTATATGATTTTGATAATTTTTAAAAACAGATAGTGAAACATTTAAGATTCTAAATCAATAATGATACCTAAAAAGCTTGATAAAATAAAACACGTTTTGATACCTATACAATAAGATTAAAAATAAAAATCAACTTTTTTTTTAAACATTACACAATGAGAATACTGATGAGAGGATTACCTCGTTGACATAAATAAGCCAAAATAATCTATTATTTTGTCAATGTCAAATTTATTATAGTATAAAACCGAGTTTTTGTTATTTTGTGATAGAATGAGTCGTTTTATGAGAAAAACACTTATAACAAATATTATTGTAAATTTAATTTTAAAAACCTTTTTNCACTTATAACAAATATTATTGTAAATTTAATTTTAAAAACATTTTATAATAAGTTATTTTTTTCTATAGTTAATACTTTCGGATTTAATCGCAAAAAACTGAAAAACACCTTTTTTAAAAAATGTTTGAACTTTTAACTTTTACGAGGTAAATACTTGACTTACGACTTTTTTAATAATGAACTTTATTATTTAGAATATTAATATCTACAATTTTTTTCTTATAAACGTTTACGTAAATGTCATAGTTTTTGAGATAAACCACAATAACTGAAAAACTACCCTTATTACCGAGTTTTCAACCCTCTTGAGGCACGGCTTAGGGTTAACCAAAATTGACGAAATTAAGTATGAACCATTTTTTTATAGTTTAGAACAAATTTGGGGGGTGGCCCGATCAAATTTCGAAAAAAAAAATTCTACACCTATAAGCTAAGGACCACCCTAGTATATATATTACTGTTTTAATGTATTAATTTTAAATGAATTTATATTATTTAACTAAAGAATTACACTGAATAATAATATGTTTTCATACATTTTCATATTTGAATAATCTACGGTTATTTGACAATAGAGTTTTATATGTTGAGAATGACCGCTCAACATCGACAGACGTCACGGATGTGTATTTAACCTTTATGTGACTGACAAAAAAACAACTTCTTGTGACGGTGTAGGTACCCGGGTACCTACAATATAGTTATCTGTGCTTTTCCGGTAAATTATTTCATTGTCGTCAGTCTATCGCTTTATATCTTATTGTATGTAATTCTTCTCGTATCTGGTGTACATAGATCTAATAAAGAACATGTATCAGAAATGTGGAAATTAGACTCGTTACCTCTCATTCGAGCTGCAATGTCTCGAGATCGATTCAAAATGTTGCTAAGGTTTATTCGTTTTGATAATGTAAACACTCGTAATATACGTATTACAACAGACAAAGCTGCACCGATTCGTGATATTTGGACATGCTTAATAAAAACTTACATAAAAATTATAAACCTACAGAAAATATAACAGTAGACGAACAATTATTTCCTTACAGAGGACACACAAAATTTACACAGTACATTCCATCTAAATCTGCAAAATATGGAATAAAGGTTTTTTGGGCTTGCGATGCAGCAAATGCTTACCCTTTGCATGGTAAAATTTACACAGGCAAATCACAAGATGGTAAACGTCAAGTAAATATTGGTGAACGTACAGTTCTAGACTTAGTTGCGATGTATAAAGGTTCTGGACGAAATGTGACTACAGACAACTTTTTTACAAGTATGCAATTGGATACTACATTAAACTCTTGGAATATGACATTGGTTGGTACTGTCAGAAAAAATAAAAGATTCTTGCCTCCCTAAATGCTTCCATCAAAAGCCAGAGCGTTACATTCTACAAATTTTGTATTTAGAAAAGATATAATTCTTTGTTCTTATGTTCCAGAAATAAATAAATAGGTTATTCTTTTTCTACAATGCATATGAGAGCCGACATAATGCAAGCTGCTATCGCTAAACCAGAAATTATAAAATATTATAATTAGACAAAAGGAAGAGTAGATACAATGGATAAAATGTTAACAGAATACACAATAAAGCGAAGAACTAATCGTTGGCCACTTGCATTTTTTTTCAACATGATTGATATTG